CAGTACCTTCATTCTTTGACATTACACTTTAGGTCTGCCGTCTAATCCCATGCCATTTCCTCGTTGTGTATAACTGCATTCAGTGATATAGCTGAACTGTTTATTGGATTTTTGTCATATTAAGGTCAAGTAATAAACACTTGGCTAGGTCTTTTTGCTCCACCAATGTAGTTGACTCCATCATATCACTGCGGTTCATGCGTTTGAAATCACAGTCCCTTCAAGATAATACATAGGCTAAATCGTTTTCTTTATATGGCTCTACAGGATCATTTGAGTGACATTATTTCTTTTCAGAGTGAGTGTGTCAGTTTGAACGCCACTTTTATTCCTCCTCTGTTGTTATTAATCAACGATAAATTTCCAGAGGTTCCCTCTTTATATGGATGCACTACTAATGTTTTAAATTCCCTATTGTTGGTGCTGTCAACAATGGGGATGGTTATCCGTACTTACTGGTTGTGTAAGTCATAGACTGACTTAAGGGTGCCGACGAGCATTGAGCTCAATTAGGATGAATAAAGCTTTGAAGTTACTAAGCATACAGCCCTGATAAGTGGTCAGCAAGACATCTGTTTTCCCAATGGACCTACTAACTTGTATGTTCATGTTATCAGTAATTCATTTGCAAGTAACATTTTTCTTTTCAATTTAGTATTTACGTCTGACTTTGGGTTATTTTATTTTAATTGTGCCAGGGTATAAATTAATTACTAGCACTGGATGAGAATAATGCCTTTAATTCCCATATACTGGCTAATTAGAACATCTTAGTGCCTTGTCACCATGGAAGCTCATTTCGTCCTGCACTATATGCAAACATATGCAGTTTTATCCAACCTATTTATTTTAGGATGTTTCAGATAACTAGATAACTCACGAACAAATGTATTCCGACGTCTCAAACATGTTTCACTTTTTGATCACTACATGTCTAATTTCAATAGAACTGTCCAAACTTCTTCATCCGGAATGAGGAACCAAGTAGAAGCCATCCATTATGCCAATCTGATAAACTTTTCACACTTTCCATCCTCAAAGATAAAGCCAAATGCATCTACAAGTTCTAGCAGAGCGCACTGCTTCACACAACACACTCTGTTTTAAAAGGAGACGAATATCATACCTACACAAGTTTGGTGAATCCACTCTCAGCCCTTTTTGGGTACCAACGTTTTGTATTTGACTGGAGTGAAACACGTACCAAAAGTAGTAATATTCGCACTCAGTATGCTCAGAAGGCTGAACTTTTTCGCATCTTAATAGAAAGAGTCTATATTATCTTCATAGAGGAGAGCAATTGGAATTTATCCTGATTATCCCCGTCAGTACATTTATAATTAGAAATAATAATAAAGGCTACTGAGAGCATCCATGAACATCATCAATAGAAGTTATCAGTTCGCTAGGTGATGCCCCCCCCTCTGGTTATGTTTTAAATTATTGCTAGCCAGAAACAATGTTTAGCCGAATATAACTGGAAGACAGTCACTAATTTATTTACTTCATGGGAAAATATGGATATCCGCGACAGGCATTCATGTTAAGCATATCAACCCTGGTTGGATAATGTATTTAGACGCAAACAGACCACATTAGGTGTCTCACCTGGAAATACATCTCATGGATGACCTAATCTTTTATATCTTCTGATCTACGATCAATGATTTCGTATCGGTGGATTTCAGAAATGTATCAGTGAGCAGCAAGATGCTTCGTTATCATCGCCATCATTACACTGATGATTTACAAGGACTATTCAAGTAGGTAAGAAGTCCTCAAATTACTCTGTATAACTGCATTGGCTTATTTCACTACAACAAACCATATCTATAGTTAACAACAGCCAATTTTATCTCCCTCTCACCGAAAAGAATACAGTGTTAAACTTCCTCACTAATACATCTCGAAGAACACAAAATCCTGGATATATGCTGTCATTATTCGCGATGTGTGACACACATTGTGTAAAGAACAGGTTGGAGTCCTGAAACCGAAAAATAAAATATCTCACATGCAATTTTCTCAATTCAAGATCATGAAATCAAAAGTCAGATTCAATGGATTGTGAGTTCGATCTATTCCGTGAATCAGTTTCTTCGGTTTAGACACTACGGAATTATCAGTTGCATCGACACAGCGAAAGATACCAGTTGTATTTTAATACCTCAAGTTTAACACAAACATGTCAATTGAATTTGATGATTATATACATTCAAACAGATAAATGAAATAAATGACTGCGTTAGAGTGAACCTGCTGGCACATTCAAAGCCAAGACAACACGTTCTAGTGGTCCTGATGGCGGAAGCATCCTAAGTGACCTTATGCTGTAGCAATATCAATAGAAGATCATGTTTGATGTTGTTGGACAGAAAAGCAATCCAGAACAGCATTAAGTCTTGAAAAGTAGTGAAGAAGCGCATATGTTACTTTAGATAATTTTTATTATGTCATGAACAGACAGTGCGAAGAGAGCTGATTTCCTGCAGAACACGGATCTACTGACCTAATTTGGGTTGTATGAGGACAGTCAATATCCGTGCGTGCAGTCAGTAAATCGGAGACGATGATAACGAGAGAGTGCACATATCATTTTGAAAGCGGTTATTTCCAGTGCTGAGAAACCATCAAAGGACGTGGTCAACCCAATGTAGACAAATCGTATCTAATCACTAGAAATTAATCAGCACAAAATCACATCAGAATAAAACTAAATGGACACTGAGTAATTCGCATTCACACATTACTGCGAACAACAAACGTCACTGCGCTTATGAAGATTTTAAAATGCTTTGGATTCTCATACATGGAGTAAGAGTTTGCATTGACATGTCACATTCACAAAACGCCACAACGTTGAACTGGATACTCGTACTTATTTTGACCATGTAATCCTTCGCCTCAATCATATATCTCCTTTCTCGAAGACAATCTCAATTGGAGGGAGCTTGTCGATATTACTGCATTCGAATATATACTCTCTAACCCCACTATTCAAGGCACCAAGTCTGGAATTAATCTCGTCCACCACTTTGTTGGATCCCAGTATCAAGGATGTCCCTGTATCTATCAGACTAATACATGCTGAACGCAGTAGTCCACTCCATTTATCCTGAAGCTGAAAGTGTTTGCAAACATTTGAATTTAGTGATCAGATTCTATCACAAATATCGGTCAGACTGTCAGTATGAAGTCCGCTTCATTAGTTCTCTCACTCACGCACTAAAGCATAATTTTCTTTTCATTACAATCAGTTGTTCTGGTTATTGATAACAATTATAAGAACAATAATTGAAATGCTGTTCACATACCAATTAGATATCCTCATTCAACATTGATACTACCATCATAGTTATTGATCACAACAATAGTAGTTTTGCCTTCCCTATGATTTGAAAATTTCATGTTAGTGGCGATAATATTGATAGTTGTGACCATTCTAGATACCCAGTTAACCACTGGTTATTATAAAAATGGGTCTTAGATGACTATATCACATAGGAAGGAGGCTGGCTATCCAGGTAACTATCAACACAGATGAAACCGATGGAAGTTAGTGTGGGGAACTTGATCGTTAAAGGGAAGAAATAAAAGAGACTGTGGGTCAATCACATTCACAGAGCTATCGAGTTGCCTGTCACTTGCAATGCGTTAGAATTACCATCAAAAGCCGCATCATTGGCGGTGAACACCAGTCTTCCAATGAAATCGGAATCATTAAGTATCTGAAAGCTTCTAACAGCTAGTAGATGAGGCAGCAGGAGCGCAAAGTAGCACTGAGAACAGATCCTTAAACCTCAGCAAATATGGTGATGCTACAATTAAAGAAAGTTTGGAAGGAAGGAAAGTAACATGCTGATTAGGAGAACGGAAAAGTCGTCAAAACTTGAAAGAAAAACGAAATAAGCTTTTGCCAAAATTATCGTGTAGGCATACTCATATGCACGCGAAACAAAATATTAATCCGCATCATTCCAAAAAAGGTACAAGATACTCTGCATGCCATACTCTTCACGAACAATCTGAAGCCAAATAAAGCGAATCGTATGCAAACCAAACTCCGACACTATGCATGGTCGTTAGACACAACATGGAACCGTAATCAAATCTCCACCACTAAATCATCGTCTTTCGAAATGCCTTTGCAATTTGCAAACTACTTCAACACCACGGAATGCAGCAACACAAACTGTTGTCAACCCAATTCAGCAGCTATATGACAATGCCGCGTGTCGTGATCCACAACAGAGAACTGAGTGAAGCTTCTGGATTGAAGACGGAAGTGAGACAAGACTGCCTAATATCACCGATGATATTTTGAGTGGCAGTGAGAACACAAGCAAACGTCATACTTATGAAAAGACGCCGGAAAATCTGGACTTTGCAAATGATCTGACACAACACGAAAGGTCACTGAATGGATGGTGAATGGGGAGCGACGAGCTAAGTATGTGTCCAAGGGTGACATGGAGATATCGTGTGAACGAAAACTATAAAAGCGCAATTTTCCTAGCTCCGTTTGCTTAGTCTGGAACCTTCCGCCTACTGATATCATATAAAATTTTCTAACTGTAAGCAGCTGATGCGAAGCCAACGAAATAAATGATACTGTGATATCTTATTCTGCAAAGACTCTTGTTCTCGCTTTATTCAAATTCATAAAGGGAAATAAATGTACTAAGTTTCTGAAAAATAGGCAAAATTTTCGTTGCTGCACGCTGGTGTCTTCGTCATTGCTGATACATGGGACCTTATTCGACTTCTTATTAAGTGGCATGCAGAAGTAGTTGCATTTACTAGAATTCGGATAAAATTTTATTGGAGACTAGTTAGGATTTTCTGTAGTCAACTCCAAGAGAGAATTGCCTAGAAAACGTCAACGTATTATGAATCATATTTACCCCTATGGAGAGCAAAATAACAAGTTACTAGCATACGACCTGATAAAGTTTAAAGATGTCTCGTGCTTTTCAAAACAAAAGAGTGTTTTATTCGACCAATTTAATTACGAAAAATTGTTAAAAAGCAGTCACCAATCATGATAATATGTTTCTACATGATTGTAAGCGAATATATGCATTCAATTTATGTACATTTTCAGATATACTCAGCAGATTCTTCATCCAAAAATGGAGGATTCAGGAATTCTAGTTCCACTAAGTCATTTGTAGACTGAGAAAAGATTGAAAAATTCTTATGAATATTCTCAAAGTCAATTTGTAATTGTTTAATTAGTTGATTAAATGCCTGTAACATTACATCACGAAACAGTGCACTTTGTTCTTGTAATTTCTGTTCTAACATACTGATTTTCAGATCTTTTTCAGTCATACATTTATCAAATTCTTGACGTAAACTCTCCAGTTGAGTATCCTTTAATTCTATCAATTGATTTGCTTCATTTAATTTTGTATTCAATGTTTCAATTTCATCCTGTAAATTGGTAACTTTCATTTCATTCTGTGTTATTAAATAGGCTGTATGATCTTGTGTTGATGCTTTAATCTCTTCATAGACTTCAACTGATTTCAATTTGTCTAAACGAGCCTGATAACAACGATTTTCTGCATTTTCAGCAATGAATATCTTAGTGTTGATTTCTTCTTTCAAATTTTTAACATTATTTTGTGCTTTCTCTAAAGCATCATTCATAGGATCTTTAGTTTGGCCTTTCTTTCCTTTCCCCTTGCCTTTACGTTTACCGCTAGTTGACTTTGACATTGCTGTAGTTGTGGATGGTAGTCACAACTTGTTCACTATCTATATGTATGGGGAAATAATTAATGCAAGTGTAGATTTTGGGCACTGTGGGTGAATAAAATTCCATATTAGACAAGTTTATTTCAAATATCACACAGTGATGATGCAGTATTATTAACTGGATGATGTTTCTAGCATAAATTACTGCTCAAAATCATGTCAGTTTAGTCATACGGCTTCAAAAGTTGTTTTATATACGTTTTTCCTTTTTCTCTGTCCCATTATTCCCCTTTTTGTTTGTTGCTACTTCCTGTGTCTCCGGTATAGGCGTTGCATCATTTCGACTGCATGTGCGTGGTGTTGAATCGATAAATAAGATTCAGCAATTAACCTCTCCTTCCACCAAACTATATTACTCGTTAGTACTTTCACTTCGCCCCACCCTACTGTTGACAACATGCAAATAAATGTAATGCGATGACTGGGCATTTCTCTAGGTTATTTAACTTAGCAGAGTCAATCATTATAGATGTAGCTAAATGTTCCAATAATCTAACGGACCCTCATCTACTAGTGACCTCACAGTCATTACATAAAATTTAGTTAATTATATTATTTTTCCTAGTTGGATCAAGCAGGTCCTTAAACCGATACAGTTTATCTCTGAAACAGCTATTTGGTTTATATCCCATCCTATCTCCATTCTTCCTATGAGTACTAATTCTGGATTCAAATCAATTTTGAGATGATTATTAGCAATCACTTATGCTCATAAAGCCATCTACTTATTAATGCGGCATCATTGTTGTATGATATTTGAAATAAGCTTATCTAATATGGAATAAAGAAATAATATTTCCATTACATTAAAAATCATTTATAATAAGGCTGTTATTCACAGTGTTACGCTTGCATTCAGTAGTGACAGAAACTTATAGTACAACTTATTTAGCTTTATGCCACACTTATTTTCATCTGGTAGTACAAACTACTTGATTGTCTCTTGAAGCAAGATTTTCACCTTTAGACTGTCATATCTAATTCAAACTGCTTAAGCAATGAAATTCCTCTCGGTAGTTACTTTTGCCATTCCTTACACAAACATTTCATATACAATTACATTAGACTGAAGAGACAAGTGATCGTCCCTAATTCTGTGATTCGAAAACCCATAATGTGCTCAACAGTAACACTCTTCATCACGTGATGCAACAGCTAAATAACATTTGCTACTGTTAACCATTTAGTGTGTAACTTAACAGACAGAGTTCCTAAGGTAGCTATGCACTCTCTTAGTTATAAAACTGCTTTGAGATCTGATGACTAGATAACATGATACGTTCTCAGTCAGCCAACTAACCACCATTATATTTGAAAACTATGTCTACATACAATTAATATCTATTGTTTTTCTTGTAATTAAAACTTTATTGTAATTCTAATTAGCTGACACGTCAAAACATCGCTGATATAAAGAAAACTGATTAGACGATAGCTATTACCTTGACTTTGAAAATAATGATTATGTGCAGCCTCTAAAATGCGATTGGTAATGACTTTATTTTACAGTCAAGTCAGTTTTGGGATTACTAAATGTTTACCTTTCTCCAACATTCGTTCATTCTTATCTAGATTGGTGTGCATTGTTATTAGCTTCGCAAATGGCCTACCTTGGGCTGTATTTACCAATTGCAGAACACAAAATTGAAAAGTCGATTCAGTTAAACAAGTGCTCATAGGAGTAACATCTTCCATAGGTGAAATTTTAGCGTTGCTCTACTAGAAAGCTAGGCAATTTATCTTAGTACTAACGGCTCAGCTGGGGACCGTGAAAATGTTTGTGATAACTAGCATAACAGAGGTGCAAAATGAAATAAGAACCTTCATAGATGATTACTGCCTGAAAGAGATTTAATTTACCCCAGTAATTACAGCCTATCTAGAGACTAATTGATTATTATTCAGTTATTTTTGGATTCAACCATTCGTTTTAGACCAATTTCTGATTTAAGACCAAGGAAATAAAGTATAAGTTGACAGTATACCCTACTTTCCTTTTTTTATTTTTGTAATATCTGTAAGTTAATTTAAGTTAAGTAGAGACTGACTGAAAATATACTCACTTTCACGAGAATAATATACAGAAGAAGAACTTTGGAAACTGACAGTTACTTAATGATTACTTTGATATCTTATGAATAATTGAAGCAACCATATCATGAATGGTTATCACATTTTCATGTTTTTCTCCTAAACCATTAAGAAGGAAATAGTTCGTCTGAATAATCTTAGGAATACAGTTGTCACATAAAACACATTTGGCTCCAAATGTAAATGAATGTCTATTATTTTCTCAATAAAGTTTTAATGGTAACAATGGATTATTATTCTAACGCATGTAGTAGAAGTTGAATCCTCTTACTATTGCATCTGTAAGTGTAATTAAGCAACCTACCTTGTTTCTAGGACCTCATGTTAGGACAGTTCCTTCGGACAGTTGGGTTCTGGCGGGTGATAGGCCAGAAGTCATTTGTGAGATGATAAGAAACACCCAGTTTGGACTCCATGCTTTACTGGGAAGCCTAAGTCTTTGTTTGACCAACAGCTGGGTTTAAGGCGTAATAGGTAGAAAAAAGTAACGGGGAAACGCCTAATCGTAATTTCGAATGAATTAAAGACAATTAAATGAGATTAGGCCTTTTCCGTCATTCTGTTATTATTTTTATATTGCATATTTTCGAGGTATGATAATTTTATGGTTTCTAATGTGCGTTTACATGCAGCCACAGTAAAGCGACACCAGGAAATCCTGAAATCCTCGAACCCGTTAGGGGAAAACTGTCTATTCATTCCCTCCGTGACACCTTCCAATTTGTTGAATGTATACAGGATAAAATTGCTTCGAATAAACATTTGTTGTCTTTGGATGTAGATTCCTATTCATGAACGTTCCACTCACAGAAGCCATCTGTTTTATATGTAAATATATTGAAGACAACAAGTTGAATATTAGGATACTCACTGCAGATTTGAAGAAACTACTTTTGAGGTGTACATTGAATGTACAGTTTATAATTTACAGACAGAAGGATATTACTGCAATAGGTTCTCGCTTGAGTCATCGCCTTGCAGACTGTTTTATGTCTAGTCTAGAAAATGGTCATTTGAAGTCAACAGTCCAAAGTTTTCAAGTGCATAAAAGGTATGTAGATGACACCTTTATTATTTGTAATAGTGATTATGATTTGAACTATATATTAAATGCATTCAGCGGTTGCTAACCAGTGATAAAAATTCAAACTCAAAATGGAGGACAAGTTTAGTATTCATTTTCTCGATGTTAACTTAACAAGAAGGACCGATGGAATTTTAAAGAGATCGATTTATCGAAAGCTGTCATGGAATCGTCAACTGACATATTCATTGGCCGAAAATCAAACCTGATTCGATTGCTTGCCACTCGCATTCGACGTATATATAGCCCTGATACTGTGGAGGATGAGTTAAGTTAACGGATTACTATTAGGGTGTAAAGCAATACCAAAGTGTGTACCTAAGGGAATTGTATTTGTCCCCCTGTTATTCCTCCAATACGTAAATGAACTACCGAAAATTCCTACCTCATCTTCCTTATTATTTGCCTGTGATACTGAGATAAGGAAAACCGCAAATAATAACGATGATAGGTTGGCACTGCAAAACGATCTAGATAGATTAGTTGAGTGGTTGAACCTGTGGGTTTGGAAATTAATCTCGGAAAAGTGCGGTCAGAAGTCGTACACGTCGTACTCCCTAGGGACACATAACTACCTGATGTTAATGGACAGAAGAACCTATAAATTGTTAGCCATGATTTAAAAACAACTGCAATTTGCAATGCAGCCGTAGCTAAGGCTTTTCGAATGCTATGGGCACTTCGAAGGGTTTTCAAAGGATTGGACGAGTGTAAGTTCTAAATACTCTATTCAAAATGTGTCAGAATTTATCTAGAATACCGCATACAAGCGGCTAGTCCATGCTTCAAGAAGGAGGAAAATTTCTTAGAAAGAATACAAAGGGTAGAAACCCTTCCTTATGAAAAAGATGGAGCATTTAAATCTCTTCCCATTTTCATAAGGAAGAAAGAGAGGCGACTTAATTTTGGCTAACCGTATATTCAAGGGTGATTTAAGGATTGACTTTTCAAACCTCTTCTCTCGCTGTAGGATACATTTACGGGGTCACCAGAAGAAGGTGCTCAAACTGAGGTCGAATAAAATACGATTGGTGTTTAGATTCTCTCACAGATTGGTCGACGGCTGGAACTCCTTACCTGATTCAGTAGTAACAGTGGACGCTTTCAAAGAGAAGTTAGACCTTTGCAGAGATATATTTTGCAACCATTAACACAGACCATAACAGCCTACTATCCTCATCATCTGAATCTGAATCTATGGTAATCTCTGACCATATTTTGGCTCTACCATTTTTTTCATTTTGTCTATTCAATTTGTATACTCTTCCTTTATTAGGTCAAATGAGAATAGCTTTACTAATCTCACTTTAAACCATCCCCAATGTTGTTTCTATCGTCCCACTTGTCATTCTAAGTCAGTGCTAAATTCTATGTTATCGAATTTCACGTAAATGTTGAGTAACGTTTTTATTCTTATTCGATTTGCCTACCTAGCTAGCATTTTTTGGGCGCATCGCGGACTTTTGGGGGCAAAAAACTGCGGGTAAATCTACTTACGTGGGGCACTGTCCCGAAGTCTGCCCCAAAATGTCTGCAATCTGCCCTAAGTATGCCCAAAAAGTCTGCAATGCGCCCGAAAAAAATGCTAGCTGGGTACTAATCCTATAACTGCACACCCTTTCCAAGTTCTATACAGCCTATGAATTATTCTATGTATGACATTAATTGTCTTGCCACTTAACATTTCATTATGATCAATTAAAATGTTTGTGATTATAATCGATTTTAATCACAAACGTTTTAATTGCATCTCATGCTATAATTATTATTTTATGTACTCACACAAATGATTCAATTCCCCACCACGTATATACGACTGCACAGCTTGATAATAAATTCGTTGAAAAGCCCCTCTTCGATCACATATTCTCGCTCTATTTATGTTACAAAAGGAAATTTTCATGAATATATTCAAACGTTGATTTCGTCTCAAAGAATATAGATAAACAATAAAGCTTACAAATATTTTTCAAAACCACATCAATGATTTTGGATTTAAATTCTCACGGTTAGCGTACTATGACGACCAACAATTAAAACAAATGAAATTTTATTTACGATGAATTATGGAGACTTACTGCTTTAGACGATCGCTTTTCAACCTTCCGGGTGATAAATGTTAATCCCAATAGTATAAAACATCCTTTTCACTTATGTACAATCATTTCTGTGCATAGTTGGAAAAATCCGCTAGATTGTCAGTGAGTGCAACACATCAGGAAATACAGAAGTATTGTCTTCGCATTAACAAAAAAACCAGGTCTTTGGTGGATGGGTTATAAGTGCCTGGGAAAAAAATAAAGCTTGAAGTCAATTTTCGTACAATACTTTGTTGTGTGCAGAATCCTTGAATTATAGTTCATTGATGTGTTATTTTGAAATCAGTGATATGTTTATCTCATTTGATCTGCAATGTCATTGTTGGGAGTAAAATACATAAGCTTTAGACGCATTAATTAATGGATTTCTACTGCTTGTGGATATTTACTTCTCGTGAGGAAGGTTTTTGAATTTTAGTTGTTCCGACAGGAGTTGTGGATATTGACTGCTCAGCAACATTACGGATATAAGTTCATCACATTATCTCAGGAATGTTGGGTTGTAGTTGGTGATGCATATATGATGTCCGACGAGCGTACATCTGTCCATGTGATGTTGTGGTGAGTTATAACCTTTTTCATGTTGTCAGTTTATGTCCATTTTATTCCACTTATTGTGTTGGGTAGAAGTTTTACAAACGAAACTTCTTGTCTGTTTGAGGGTAAGTATCTTAATCGTTAATGTTTTATCTAAAATTATAAATATAGGCAAAAAACCACAGGTGTAGTATTTAAGCTTATACATTAAATGGACCTATAATTTCGGAGGCTCTCAGATAGGAACTAGACTACTGTCGTTTGCAAACTCGTGTAGTTTGTCGTTAAGCACTTTTTTGAAAGAGGCCAATGTACCTGCTTGACGCATTTCCATTGGTAGTTTATTCCATATCTGTGCATACCTAATCAAATAAAACTTTTGCCTGGTAGCTGTTTTACATTGTTCGATAGCTACTGTACCCTTAGTGTGTCTTAGTTTGTAGCCACTGTCATCTGAAAGTCGAATGCCATTAGTAGAGGTAAAAACTAAGTGGTTTAGAAGCTTATAGTAAAGTGTTAAGTTTAGTCTCAGGCGTCTTAGCCATAGTGTTTCTAATCCTAGGGTGTCACATCTAGTGGAGTAGTTCGCACCATTTTCGGTTCCGAGTAATTTTGACGTGAAGTACCTCTGCACTCCCTCGACTTTCAATTTGTCCTCTATGCGTATACTACTATACATGAATGAACAGTAATCAAATAAAGGACGCACACAAACCTTGTACAACAGAATTCTGGACTCATTTCTGTAAAAGTTCCTGAGTAGAAAGCCGATAAGTCTGCGTGACTTTGACACTTGTTTGGAGATATGTTCAGAAAATGATAAGTCATGTGAGTATTTCAGTCCTAGGTCCAATACAGATTCCAGTCGTAAAGTGCATGGCCTTGAATTGTCAGGTCAAGTTCTAAATTGTTGCAACCTATGCAGAGCCAGCCACATTTGTCGACATTAAACTGGAGTTGCCAGGTGTCACACCATCTGTCCATTTTTTCTAATTCTTGCTGTATGGCGTTTAATGTTATTCCGAGATCTGTGTTCTTGCATTTATAGGTCACTTTTAAGTCATCTGCATATAGTATTGGTTTACCAACACTAAAGCATTCACAGATACTGTTTATATATATTATGAATAGGAGTGGGCCTAATACACTTCCCTGGATTACACCACTACTTACAGGTTTTGGCCTTGAGATTATCGAGCCAACTTTTGTTATCTGATTTCTGTCACAGAGAAATGATTTTATCCAGCTCAGGAGAGGGTCACATATCCCTAGTGAGCATAACCTGCTGACTAGCAGATTATGGGGGACTCTATCGAAGGCTTTTGTTATATCGAAATATAGCACAATTACTAGTTCTCTGTTGTCCCTGCTTCGTGTAACTTCATTGAAAAAGTCTATGTGACAGGTCGCACATGATCTCTTTTTGAGGAATCCGTGTTGTGATGGATTGATAAGTTCATGTTCTAGTAAGTTGTCTGACACTTGGTGTCAGCAAAGTCTCATAAACCGTTAATGCCCAGCTCTCGCTACGCTCGGGCCCACGCTGTTCTTAGAAGATTTCTCAGAAACGCTTAGTAACAACGGACGAAAAAACCAAAACACCAATTGTTGACTTGAGTATTATGTATTGTTACACCAGCATATAAATCAAGTATCACTAAGCAAACTAAGGTCTGTAAACAAATATTACAATAATAAATCGTTATGCTACTTCTGACGATGTTTAACTCTTCTTTCTGAACAGCGACCGATGAGACGATGACTGTCGTATTGATGCCTCCGCGAAAATCGAGGAAGTTGATTTTGAGCAAACAACCAAGAATTGATCGTTCAATCTTCAACTCCATTGACACTCCCCGGCAAAAAAGGGATCCAACCCTTTTTTCCTTCACGACTAATGCACGTTGACTTGGATGCCATTGTGAGAACCTGGGTCACACGGACAGAGCTGAAATGGAAAACAAACAGAAAAGCCAACACACCACAAGCATACCCACAGCACAATCTCAAACATCGCTGACGACCTGCGCCTCCAGACAGTGACCTCCTCTTGACATCTTGCAACACAATCGCCACTTGCTAGAATGACTCTTGCAGAATGCAAAGTGACCATGGCAGCACCTCACGATACTCTACGCACATCCTCTTATCTACTCATTACCAATTACCACTGCAATCGCTTGTCACTCATTCTGCCTCAGTTCTAGTAGCGGTGACGCATGCGAGCCTCAGTCGTTTACACTCTTTCTCCCCGGCGTGTCGGACCGCAGCTAACAATTATCTCCGTGTGCATTTCATTCTCAGCAATAGCCTAGCCTCCCCGGCGTATACGACCCATCTGCTGTCTCTAACATCAATCAATTCATTCACGGATGTAGAAGACAAGAAACAACTTCAGAAGTAATCACGACGAAAATTTTAACAAAATTATGCAATAAAAACAAGGCACGAAAACAACGAGTAAACACAACTGATCCAAAATCACAAATTGCGAAGACACACCACACGTATACACAAACAGTACAAATAACCTCGCGGATCTTGTCTTGGTGGAATTATTTTGAGGAATTGGAGGACTTACACCAGTACGCCTACAACCCTTCTCACGTTGACGATTGTAAGTTGTGGAATGTCCAGACACAAACAAGATTAACCAACAATTACATCAATTGGAACTCACACAACTATTTAACACAAACATATGTACAATCAACACATCAAATGTTGTGGATTCTGACACGACAAACTACCCTTGAAGAACCGTAGGACTTACAGCAGTACGCCTACATTCCGGCTGAAATTATCCGTCACTTATCAAGGTCATTGGTGGAGTGAGGCGCTCGAAGGTCATTTTCGTCCATTTTAGTCGGCCATGTTGGATCGCAGTTCCGTAGCTGTTCGTTAACGCGTTTGTTGTTCCGTTTATCCTGCCGTTATACACGACTTATCTTGTTGCGTATCGTTCACAAATGTTGCGTTTCACCTCATTTTTTGTTTCCGTTGCTGTTAAAATGAATTATTTCTTTGGTTTCGAAAGTTTTCACTACCAGGCCAGTGCATTCATTTCGGTGTAATTGTTTTCATACCTTGCATTCATGCGGCTTTGAGTGTTTTAGTTGGTTTTCAGCTGTTAATGAATTAGTACTGTGTAGAGGGTTTTGAAATTGTGCACATGAAGATGTTTGGCTGTCAGAAGCAGTTGTTTCCAGTCCATTAGTTGGTTGCCGTTACAATTGTTGGCTCAGTTACTTGCATAACATGTAGAAATCTGGAAAAAGAGTGTCTTTTTCGTTCATGTTTGCAGCATACAACAATCTGCGAGTGAATCTGTTGAAGAGAGCACCATCAGAGTTGGTATTAGCAAGGTTTTCGAAGAACAAATTAAACCCAGAGAATTTAGAACCTGGGTTGAAGTTGAAAAAGCTTTGAAGATTTTTGAGAATGTGAATATACCATCCGTGTGTCTGCTATCATTTAAAAAAATCTATTGTGAGAGAATCTAAGCCAAATATGGTTGAGCCGCATGAAAAGTATGAATCTGTTGTGCTTGTGTATATTTTGGGGGAACTAAAAGAACCTGGAATCCTTAAGGGTAAGTGTTACTTATGCTTATTATTGCTTGATGTACTAGATCGCAATAAATGAACTAGGACTACCCGTAATAGAGCCAGTGTTAACATCCATTCGATGGGTTGCAAAACGGTTTTCAAAGCGGATAAAATACGGTGATCTGGTGAGTGTTCAAACAATCCCAGTTAAAGGTAAGACATTAATTAGGAAGAATAACGTTTCGGGTTGTAGTCTACGATTGATGGTTTCCTCGAAGTTGTGATTCTTCCGTGACTATAGACACAGATGTTCACGATCTTAAAAAAAACTAAATAAATTATCCTTGAACCAGTAGTCTTCTTTTCTTCGGCGAAACATCCGTTAATACGACTATACGATTAGGTAGCGAAGTAAGATGTTATGTGACTGAGAATCGTGGTTGTTGTGTTTCTGACTAATTTCGCACATCTGACTTATAACCGCATGGAGATAGCGTTTTCCTCATGGTACATTATGATATCTAGAAATCATAAGCACGCTGCCATCGGTAAATTTATTTTTACTTTTGAAATGGCTGCAAATAGTGAGTCGTTTGCGGTGATAGGATGAATACCTCTGAACGTTTTTGTGGAGACTAGGGTATATTTAATTTTTTCGAGTAAGGGACGCTTGTAACACTAGAAAGTTTGGCATTTATGGGAGAATTTATGAAAGACTTGTTTAGTTTACACACACCAAATGAATAGGAAATACTGGAGGTAATTACATGCATACAGGCGTAGGTTATTTAACATCTATAAAGTAGACATGCAAATACCGCAGTTTTTGATCACA